CATTGAAAACCTGGAAGCACTGGACGGCCGTTTCGTCCTAGTATGGGACTCCTCAGCAGTGCGCATCCACGATCCCGCACCACGCGGGGCTCGAACCCAGGACCTACTGGCTTCGCGCGCGAGCACTTAACCATTAGACCACTGAGCCGGCATCCAACGGTGTTAATGTCTAACTTCAACCAATCCACGAAGTTGCGCCACCGTACACCATTGTCTTCAGTGAGTTACTATCTCACAACAGACCTGGTTGAACTCCACTGGTAACGGCTTCTCACTAGAACTTCGGGAGTTTTTCCTGAAGTCAGTCACTAGTGAGCAGTTGATTATTATTATTATTAGAATGGGTTTTGTGGAGATTTTAGAAATTTCACAGATTGAAATCATGAGTCAGTTGAAGCTAGACCACCATTGAAAACCTGGAAGCACTGGACGGCCGTTTCGTCCTAGTATGGGACTCCTCAGCAGTGCGCATCCACGATCCCGCACCACGCGGGGCTCGAACCCAGGACCTACTGGCTTCGCGCGCGAGCACTTAACCATTAGACCACTGAGCCGGCATCCAACGGTGTTAATGTCTAACTTCAACCAATCCACGAAGTTGCGCCACCGTACACCATTGTCTTCAGTGAGTTACTATCTCACAACAGACCTGGTTGAACTCCACTGGTAACGGCTTCTCACTAGAACTTCGGGAGTTTTTCCTGAAGTCAGTCACTAGTGAGCAGTTGATTATTATTATTATTAGAATGGGTTATCAGAATGAATATATTGACCTGTTCGAATGCTAGAATAACGTATATGGTTTAACATGTCAACCGACACTACATGAGTTTTCAAGCATCTGTCGGTTCTGTAGATGCCGCCGACATCCACCGATTTTTCATAACCTTTTGGTTCAAGTTACTAGTAGATTTAACTGATGTTTCCACAGCCTTTTGACACCATTTTCACTATTGACTAACTCCTCTAGTTGTCCCTGAAATATACTAACTTTTTTGTTCTTAAGTTAAACTCAAAGCAATTTTCTCGCTGCGGATTTTATACTTCCAGTAATACAAACAAATACGAGTTTACACATGTGCTCCAGAATCGGCGACAATTTTTAGTCGAGCCTCTCCAACGATGTCTAATGGCAATGTGATCTTTTTGGATCCATCGATGAGTTGGCTGTGGAGGTCTCTATCTGACAGTAACCTTCAGTTCTAAGGTCACGTATTACAACTACTAAATCTATGTAATCGGTTACTTTGAGTAATCCCATTCCATTTATTGTGTAGTTTTTATCACAAATCTTCTGAAATTTATTACTAATGACCACTGATTTGTTCACTCAACCAGTCCGTTCAAGTCTTTGTGCAAACTTATCAGATACACTTTATATGCATTCCCATATTTTAATGTCATGAGCAAGCAATGGAGCAAATGACTGTGAATACTTGATAGATTATCCATGTAAGATAAGAACGGAAGAGGGCCTCAAATTGTTGACTGGGAAATTCCACTCCACAAATTCTCATGATGTCAAAGCATCTTCCATCGTTTTCATTCAACTATCTCACTACTACCCCTTAATGCCTTGGTACTACCCAGAGTGGAAAGAGTCCACTCTTTTCAAAATGCCTTTATGCGATAGTGTTTATAATATCTGTCAGGTAAATCTTACCACGGTAATGTGGCGGTGGCAGACTTCCAGAGTTTAAATGGCGTCGATAGATACGGAGGGTCTATTTAGGATAGTTTCAAAAACCCTAATCCCAAACTAATGGCGTACATGAGTTTCAAGAAACAACGTGTATGGATCTATTTTTGTTACCAACTACTATAGAACCTCATCTGATGTTACTCTACTGACTTGTAAATTGAGCCTTTATTTGGAAGTCTCAGAGCGTTGGCTCTTAAGAAAACCATCTGCTTCTGTTTGAGTACTCCGGCAATCTCCCGCTCCATACTTGAATATTCAGTGTGACGCATACTATTTTCGGTGCTTAGTTGTACCAGATTTTATGTGAATAAAATCACGAGCTCACCACTGGGAAAGATAATATACATATTCAGTGCTAGCACTGAATACTGATTCGATGAAAACAATATAAGAACTTATTACTGTTTGTAACTTAAGAGCAAATTTAATGTCAATAACCACTTGTTGAATGTATTTTCTATTGTTTCCAAACAAGAACTGTGATGTGTGTCACTCATGCAGACATATATAAGTAGTATGTATCAAAAATTGGAAGTGGGATTATTATTGACAAAAGAGGAACATCATGAAAAGAGAAAGAATGATGGAAGCAGTTCAAGTAGTAATAAAAATGCAAGAACGATGGAATTTGTAAGAGATAATTCAAGGAAGATATGCAAATGATGTATTCAGTGTATTCTTTTCATATTTTAGAAATGCAGTATGATTTTGCTTAATACAATAAATTAGTTTGCCTCGCCCAGGTCATTATAGAACCACTTTAATAATTAAAAATATGATAAATATTCCCACGGATGCTTCAAATTTTCCCATTGATTATCGACTTACTATAGTTAAAGTTTATCTAGACACTTTGCTTCCTTTCTTAAACGTACAAATTAAAGCTTCCTCTTCCTCGAGAAGTTCTCTGGTTATTGACCACACTTTTGATTTTAAGAAATACATTTACAAGCTTTCTACTTTCTGATCTTTATTGAATTAAGTTCATATCTACTGATATATACAACTAGTTAAAGTATCTTAAATGGTAGTTGTTATTTTTCATTTACCGTGTAATTTTTTTTAAATCAGGTGTATTGAACAGTTTATCGATGTTGGAAGAAGTTAAACATTCTACTCCAGACTTTCGTACTCAGAGAAGAAAGTCTACCAGAAAGAGTCTTCTTATATGTACTTGTCTGACTGAACAGAATTTAGATGAGCATACTTTACCTAGTGATGTAAAGTCGGATGACGAAATTAATGACGACGGACTAACTGATGAACTTGCCAAAAGGTATCAGGGTGAAAGTCGGAAGTGGGATCAGTTGGTAGAAGAATATGAAACACGTTTGATTCCGGCCGATAATCGAATCGATATGCCTTCCGAAGAATGGATTAAGACAGATCGTGTAACCCGTAAATATGAAGATATAATTTTTCCCCAAAAGTATTTTGATTCCTATGATTCCCTGGACAGTTTGGCGGACTCTCTTTTAGACACACATAATGATATATTTTTTGAGTTAGAGAAACTTCCCCATTTAATCGAAAGGCAGGACATGTTTTTAAAGAGCTTTCGGAAAAAAATGCGTTTGAAACAAAATGTTTCTCAAGATTCATACTTCGGTTCAGCATCACCATTGTCTGTTATATCTAACTACCTTGGAGCTGAAGTGTGACGTTTTTTTTTTAAATACAAACTTGTTTCCACATATTTATTAGGTTAATAGTTTCATAATAAATAAATCTCAATAGAAAACCCTTGATTCATAAAACGATTATTTTTATGGTATTTCATTTTTCATTAAATGTGTTGAATAGTATTATCGCCATTTTGCCTGCGGATAAGCCTCGTTCTTTGACAACAAAAAGATAGAAACCTGTATTCTCCTTAAAAAAACTACTTAGATGTGAAATATCAATAACCTTAAGATCGAGACTTGAAGTCGCTTAGTTTACTAATAAGTTTAAACACAGATTAGTTTAAATGAACTTCGTTTCATTCTTAGGATTTGCTCACATAACCCGCTAGTTTGAGAACTGAGTAGTGACTTTCTTTTTCACGTTGGTGGAACGTGAGCCAAAAACTCGAAGCGAAGATTTTTATCAAACAACATTTGTTACTCAATTACAGTTCTCGTATATTTTGTTGTCAGATCAGTAGATATTAATTGGGATATGGTGTGAATCTTTGCTCACTAATTACAGCTGTTATTCGCCTTTCGTGATTTGGTTAACGCTCAATGTTCTTAGAATTAAATCATGCTAGACTAAGTTAGGAATTATTTACTTGTAATTGGCATTGTGTTGTTAGTCATTCAACACGAGCTCATTATGTGCAGTTGTTAATCCCAAAGTTCAATAGTTTTAGCTGAGGAGAAAGTTAGATGGTGGTTGGAGGTAGTCGACAGGAAACCCTGGACCCGAGTTTCGTGTTACTTGGCACTCGTCAAGCAAGGTGTACCTGTAATCTTGAGGGAACTGGTGGTCCCTGGCGGATTCGATCTCATGTCACCCAGTTTCACAGTCACAGACGTTACCACTGAGCCATCCGAGCCGCGACTGACCTCCTGTAGGACTGAGATGTAATCACAATTGACTGCGTGTCTAGTCCTTGTTAGTGCAGATCGAATGATATCAACCATGCTGCAATGTGGCCACCAGCCTAGGTGACTCGACACTGCGGGCACTATATATTGAGATTAGATGGTGGTTGGAGGTCGATAGTATTCGATCTGCACTAATAAGGACTAGACACGCAGTCAATTGTGATTACATCTCAGTCCTACAGGAGGTCAGTCGCGGCTCGGATGGCTCAGTGGTAACGTCTGTGACTGTGAAACTGGGTGACATGAGATCGAATCCGCCAGGGACCACCAGTTCCCTCAAGATTACAGGTACACCTTGCTTGACGAGTGCCAAGTAGCACGAAACTCGGGTCCAGGGTTTCCTGTCGACTACCTCCAACCAACATCTAATCTCAATATATAGTGCCCGCAGTGTCGAGTCACCTAGGCTGATGGCCACATTGCAACATGGTCGATAGCATTCGATATGCACTAATAAGGACTAGACACGCAATCAATTGTGGAGAGAAAGTTCTTACTTTTATCTGGTCCCATAAGATGCTCGAACGATTTCACAGTATACTTATGTTAGCATTAGTTTCTTCATCAGCCATGTATTCTTTTTATATTTGCTAAATTTCGATTTGTTCAACTCCTTTTCTCAAATTATATATGATGTGTTTTACATGTAAACGTATAAGGTAATTAATACAAAACACTTAATCTAAGAAGTAAATTTCAAAACTTTGGTTAATACATCTATTTAAGACGATTAGATATATATTAGACATGCGATGCCAAAATCGCAAAATGAAAATAATCATTACTTCGAAATCATCTTATTCTTCACATATTGTATTCTCTTTGGATACTTTCTTAATTTTTATCAAAGGTCTGATGTTATAGAACGAACGAATTCTTCGTAGTGCACGTTACCATCACTATCAACTTTAGCTTTTTCTAACATTGCATCCATTTCCACCTCAGTCAGATTCTCACCCACCGTACACAGGGCACGACGAAGTTCAGAAGCTGAAAGGAAACCATTATTTTCGACATCAAATGTACGGAAAGCTTCAACGATATCTGATTCCGTGTATATTTCATTGTACTTTCGTGATGCTATTTCACAAAATTGATCAAACGTTATACCTTCAACAAGTGCTGTTTTCTCTTTGTCCACGTCAGCTATCAACTCCTAAAACCCAACAATTAATACAGATTTTGATTAGTTCACTAACCGTATAAGCTAATGGTGAATTTATTAATGTACTCACTGTTTAAACAGAAGCTAAGTCATTTCAGTACTAATAGGATCCCTGGAATTCTTTCCTACATTCCTCCATTAAGTACCGGATTCACAACTTTGTTGTTCACTTATAAAGCTCCATAGGTATATGGTGATACTCCACCTACATCCCTGTTTTTTTTAGATTCAGAAGATATTTTGAAGTTAGGGCATTGATAAATAGATTGCGATTCTGTCCTAATGATATTGAAAATTATCTGAATATCTAAAAGATAATAGATGCACAAACTGACTACATGCATCTAAAATTATGGTTTTTAGGATCATATACTCCTTTCTGACCCACTAAAATGTTGTATCATTCTTGTATTGGGCATTTTCATACGAAGTATGAATGGAGATGTTGCTGGATTCGGAAAATAAAAAAATGTAGAAGTCAGCAGTGGATCCGGATATGCTCTTTCAAGGAACCAAAGTGTCTTGACAGGTGCACGATGCTTACACTCATTATTACAATAGATGTCATATGTATTTATGTTAGTTTCCTGGGTTTCGTGTGTGGAGTAGTCAAACTTCTTTATCATAATAGGTAATGAAATATGCACCACTACTAGTAGTTGGCAGTACTGTTTAAAAACTAGTCCGTAGCGTGCACTGACCTAAGACCACCGTTTGGTATAGTAGTGTTTTCGTTTTGGATGAACCGAACTAGCAGTTACTTTATGAATAAGCACTACATACTAAAACAGTTATTTCTCAAACCAGCTATGGTAGTTAGGGTGGGTCTGAGTCTGTTTTTGTAGACGTATCCTTTAAACTTCTAGTTGCGTAATTCTTGTTTCCTTTCATCGATATAAGACCCAAGTCAATAAATACAGGTAATGCACTACCCAGCAGTGGATAGCTTGCTCCCAGTATTTGTTAGCTACTTAGTTCCAGGTCACATTTTGCAGTACCTTATATGATTTAGACTTTCGTTTAAGGACCATATTGATGAAACTCAATATTTATTTGATTTTTGCATTAAGTAATCGAATTATCATGTGGTGTTTGATCTCGAGACATATAACTTTATCGAGTGTTTTACCTTTACTGTTCAGTATGCTACATTAAACTTTAGCCTAGCTCATATCGAACAGGAATCATTAGTAGTTCTGTCCGGTTAGGCAGAGTTTATGGAATTATAATTGAGCTACAAAGATTTAGCAAAAGACTTAGAATTATACTAGTCAGTCAGGACATTTGTGTAGAAATGTTATTATTACGTTACATTTAAACCGCTCATAATATAACTAGCATTCGTCTTTGATATGCGCATTTGCACAAACTTTTACAAAACAACTGGAGAGGTAATTCAATGTATCGCTTTACTAAATCTTAATACATATACTACGGAAGAAATAGTATCTTCCTAACTGTTCTCTTTCTCTATTTATAAACGTATCAAATATTTCTTCCCTTGGTTTGTTAGAATAAGTACTAACTTGAAGTATTGTTGACATATTTAATCCCGACTACATAAGTCACTAAACTCACCACATTAGTTAAGTATGTTTACGTCATCATAAATTTAATCAGTACATTGATTAGATTTTAGACCCTTAATAGTGGGGTTTCCGGGATTCCAAAATGAATAAACTCACCTCAATTTCTAGGTTTGATGGCATCAGACCTACTCTTCTTATCAATACAGTCACATCTGGGACGGAGACTTTCCCCGTTTTTTCATGATCTAATGCATCGAATTGTGCCTTGTATTCAGTTATCGTCTCCTCCGTTAGTTTAGCCTTCTGTTTTTTGGCGGATGATGTCATTTTTCATCTTACAACAAGAGACTTTGAATACGACTGTAAAAACACAAAGAGAAGGGTCACGTTAGTCAATCTGAAGAACTAAAATGTACGATATTTGTATCTTAAATATCTAAGGCAGTTCCTAGCACATTTTGTATTTAAGTCCATTAATAATAGTTAGTTCCCGGGAATAGTATTCGATGCACTTCAGTATACAAACATGGTCAGGCCCGTGCAAATTGCTAGGTAACGATAGTCAATTTAGGTTACCCTCTTATTACTTCCGACTATACTGTTGGAGGAAAAATCGGCCTACTCATGCTTAATAAATTTGCAGAGATATCTATGCTGCTCAAGAGTGATTGTCTAAATCCACCAAGTTTAGCAAGAAGATTTAATTGAGCACTAAATATGAAATCCTTGTCTTGACATCAAATCCCATTCTGAAATTAAGCATCTTACTAAAGGCTTGTCCTTTTCAACATTCACTAGCAAGTCCAGTGGAGTATCTTGTATTTTAACAAAAAGGAGGGACATAACTGTCTTTTGTGCGATCCGAATAAAAACATCTGATTTGCAGCACTGCAAAGTATGGTTTGCTGATCGTAATGCAGTAAAGTCTAATAGATTCAAGCCTGAGTTGCCAAACACTACTATGACAAATTACTTGCATATTCAGTCAGTCCACTATACAAGATTGGATAGTGTACGTATACAGGTTTGGCAGTTTGTTCAATCCCAGTAAAAAGGTTACTTATGTGGCCATCAGAGTCGTGGAAGACGGCTCACGTGAACAGCGTATCACCTACTATGAAGTAAATACGAACCATGGACCTAGTTAGGCTTATTCCAACTGGTATCAGTACCAAACGCTGACCACTTGTTATTATTTTTTAAAGTATCACTTCTCAACACCCTAGAACCGTGTAAAAAGTTTTTTTCAACTAACTCATATATTTGAGCCATAAATACAACTTGACTAAAACGTATTCTAGAATAATCATGTCTATCTGCCTAAGTATCTCCATTGACTATGTAGTTTCATCGTGACAGAACAAGTGAAAAATAACCCTGGTTATATTTAGTGGAACGTCACCATGTTCCTTTTGTTAGCCTGAGACCTTTCCGAAATGAGAATATATATATATATATATATTACACAGCATAAAGTTTATACTACCTTCCTACAGTTTCAGACGCCTCAAAGTATGAAACCTTTTTAAAGATTTCCCCGATAATTTAGAGATCAAATCAATCAGACGGCGTACATCCCTTCAGAATGTGTTGTGTGCTTTCAAATAAAGTTCTCCGATAACATGTTTATTATTGACACAAAATTGTTCAAAAACTGAAAATCTCCTTCCTAATACAGTTACGTAGTCGGACTTCACTTTTCATTCGAGCTACATTTGGATAATTGAAAACTAATCATGGTTACTGAGTAAATATTTTTATTACATGAAAAATTATATTTCGGTCGCATTCGCTCAAGCAGTAACCATAGATTTCAAGGTAACAATTGAGGCATTCAAACTCAGATGTGAGAGAAATGATTTTTCCCCATCACCCTGTCATCTCTTCACTCAATACCATGCAAACATGGTCCTTTGATATTTCAAAAGCAGATGTATGCCTCTAAACGGTTTATTATTCTTATGTTGTTAACTGATGAATTTTCCTTTAGCTCTAAATACTGTTAAACGTAAATAATGCGTAACTCATTTGAAATCTTGTTCTACTATAGTGACAAATGAATCCGTAGAATAAGTAGTTCTGTTAGTCTTCAGTACTGACCCTGGCCTCATTAGTTTTGCCGCAAACATCCTGGTGAAAGTGCACAGTCAAGCACCCTCATCAGATTACTGTCGGGAACTCCGTGCTAAAAATTCCTTGCAATAACTGGTCCACTCAGATAATATACTTCGTGATATATAGATTACCTTCCAACTATATCTTCAAACTCCTTCATTCCTGCTTTGACAGGGTTTAAGAACCTTTATTTTAAAAGTGCTACGGAACACAACGTTGTCAAACCAAGAGTATCTGTGACACGTTAATTACTAACTCCCAGTTTCTAATTTATTTGGCTTACGATTGTATCATTTTCATTTGTCTGCTTCACAATTGAATTTTACTCCATTATTTGTGCTTTCTGAGTCATCGGCTCAATTTACCTACCATTCCTTGTAAGCTCCATTACACATGCCTGGCGCAAACCACTACCTATTTGCATATTAGTGAAAGGTTCACCTCTGAGTCCGCTCCAGAAATCTGATAAACGTTTGTAGTGACTCACGTTTATCACGAGAACACGACTGGTTTAATAAAAACAATTATTATTATAACCAACTGTACCAGTGTTTGTTTTAACGTGCTTTTGTTTGACTGTGCTAATGACAGCTTTTTTGTGCTTCCATTCTTTCACTTACACTTCGATTGTAACTTCGCGCGAATTCGGTTACCTTCTGTAACCAAGGTTGTATCCTGGCACGATCTCGGTATCCTTTCGATGCCACGAGATCGCCAGCTAATAAACCTCGACTTGGTCCATTAATTGCCTTCTGGTATTCGGCTTCTCGGGGATTTTATGGAGTCATTTGGAACGAGCTTCTTACGCCTTCTGATCTATTTGGCACGTGTTTCTTGGTAGCGGTGTTCATAGTTAATCTCAACTCGACGCCACGCTACATTGGTGATCCCAAAGTTTGGAACACGCCTCAACTTCTGATCAAATCTTCCAAAGAAGCCAATTCGGTGAGTCTATGATTTATCTATCCACGTCTGTCGTATATTTTCATATTTTTTAATATATAATATACTCGACATGACGGATAACGATAAGAATAGTATTAATATAATAGACTCACATGTATGTGTACCGAATCCTTGTTACTTTTTATTCGCGTGACGATGAATTCCACGCTTTATTCGAGAAAGTTTCCCCTATTAACTGTTCTCCTCGCTGACCCGGCTGCTTGGTACGGAATGCATACGCATAAGCATATCTGTCTACCACCCAGCACCAAATGGTTAAGTAAACGGTTTCACTGCCAACTTAAAAGTGCTATACGAGCACACGAAAACGGCAACTGGCACGAAACCTTACCGCTCGTTCTTTTAGGGATCACAACGAGCTTGAAGGCAGATATACAATGTTCCGCCGCTGAACTGGTATTCGGCACGACATTGCGTCTGCCCGGAGAATTCTTCACACCACGGAGCAGACCTAATTTCGGTAAATCAGACTACGTCCATCGACTGTCTGCATTTATGCGAACGCTGTCTCCGGTGTCAACTCGAATACAACATCGACAGGTCGCTCTCCCTCGAGAGTTATCTACCTGTTCACATGTTTTCATACGAGTAGATTCGGTACGCAAACCTTGGCAACAACCTTACGAAGGCCCTTTTCACGTGATCGCTCGTCACGAAAAGACCTTCAAGGTTGATCGATATGGACGCGTCGAGATCGTCAGCATTGATCGTCTCAAACCAGCACACGTCGATGACAGTGCCCTATCTGATAACCTGAGATTCAATGCTAGACCTAGCAAACCTACTAGCGGGATCCTCAAACCATCTTCAGGTCCCACGCTAGATACATCTGAGACCTCATTCTCACGTCCCAGTCAACAGCACGCGTCATCTGCACCGTCTACGGACGAGACGACAGTCTCACGTCCAGATCAGCAGACCACGCCGCCCTTGACTTCGGATGAGATTGCAGGCTCACGCGACGCGAACGAGACTACCGTCTCACGTTCCGGTCGCCGAGTACGGTTACCCGTACGCTTCCGCGACTAGCCGCACAGTTAACAAACGATACGGTGTAGGATTATTCCTATACTACACGCATGCTACACTCTTCTCTTTTTTGATTTTCTTTTTGTTTCCTGAGCCCACGCCTTCGACCATCTCCGTTTGGTTCCGTCGACTTCAGTCAACTTTGGCGAAAGCTGGCCTGATCACCCATGCTCTTGTCAACGCACTCAGTCGATATATTGGTTTCGAATGCTTGGCATACGCTTGGTCTCGAACTTGGTCGTTATGGTCGCTTCTGGTTCATCGGCTCAACGTGGTTTCGTCCTACGTCTGCAGCGTTTCTGGTGCGCACCCTACGAACGCCATCTTCAGATTCTGGATACAAACCACTCTGGTGTAGCATGCCAACTCAAGCAATAAATACAACACATCGCTCCTGGTACCGTTCTCCGAAAACGACCTTCGTTGGCAACTCGACGATCAACGATCGCTTTCCTGTTCGCCAATTCTTCCGTCCTACAATCGCTCGTCAGCCGATCAGTCCCACGATTCAAACCGCTATTTATCGAAAGTGTAAACCCTTTCTAGCGGGGGGCTCCTGTAGTGACTCACGTTTATCACGAGAACACGACTGGTTTAATAAAAACAATTATTATTATAACCAACTGTACCAGTGTTTGTTTTAACGTGCTTTTGTTTGACTGTGCTAATGACAGCTTTTTTGTGCTTCCATTCTTTACTTACACTTCGATTGTAACTTCGCGCGAATTCGGTTACCTTCTGTAACCAAGGTTGTATCCTGGCACGATCTCGGTATCCTTTCGATGCCACGAGATCGCCAGCTAATAAACCTCGACTTGGTCCATTAATTGCCTTCTGGTATTCGGCTTCTCGGGGATTTTATGGAGTCATTTGGAACGAGCTTCTTACGCCTTCTGATCTATTTGGCACGTGTTTCTTGGTAGCGGTGTTCATAGTTAACCTCAACTCGACGCCACGCTACACGTTATACAATCAAAAGGGTAAGAACGGAACAGATACAAATCAATAAAGGCGAGCAGTCATAAGAGCAATGGCAATCAAAAGACTATCAGAAGAGGAAATAAACGTCCTGGGTGACTGAAAATTCGTTGGTCTTTGTATCAACAGCCGGAGTGATCTGTGTCGATATTTGAGATCTGCTCGAATTAGATACTGTGTAGTCTGACTTTCAATAGAGTATTGTTTTAATATGATATCAGCAGCCTACACAATTTAAGTAGTTGATTCATAACTGACCTTATTAGTATGTCCCGGTTTAATCTCCGCCCTTTTGATGGTCGTGAATTTTTTTTATTGCTCCACATTATTTAGTTGAGCTCTTTCCCATTCATCGTTATGAAATTAAACTTATTACTTACGACCATGTTATTGTTTAGTCTGATGGTGTTTCCTAATTGTGAATTGTGTATACACTTAGAAAAGTATATGGACTCTCACGGCTCTCTAATTGAACTCGAAAACAATGAAGGCTATCAAAAATAAGAGCGACTGGAGGATGAGCATTAAATATGTCTCCTTTCACTTCTCCTGAAACCAAAACGTAACTTGAACTTTCTTTTGTGGCAACAAGAAGCAAATTTTTCTTGCTAGCGGGTAATCCTCATTTTTATCGACAGAAAAAAACAACACATCTGGTGAGTAGTTCTTCGTTTAAATCATGAAACATAACGGCTGAAGCATGAGGTTGTCTTTGCAAACACACATAGTTTTTCAAGTCACCCTATAGTCAAAAATAAGGAAGAATCCACTTTGTAGAACAAATAACGAGACAGTCAATCCTGAATAATTGCTCCACTGTTTGTATGAGATAATCAGGTACAAAAATGAAATGTGTAATTACGAGTGATAAATCTTCGGTTTCATATAAGCGTTTGGTCTCCAGAACGGATTAGTTATCCGAAAAGAAATAGACACGGTGTAAATATCCTGGGCTCAGAAATAAACTAAAACGAAAGCTGCTTTTTTAAAAAATCTACATGTATGAGCCTTTCAGAAGCCGAGTTCATCACCATTTTCGGCCCCCTAACCTGTGTCGAAAATGCCCAATGATCTGGTGGATTGAGAAAAGTTTTCGCCAAAAACTAGAGGGTGAATTTATCCGCAACGCAACCATGTAAACTTAATGTATCACACACTGTCGTTTGTGCGTTCAAGTAACCACAGATTTTGTCATTTCATAAGGTATTTTAATTAAATAACTAGATTATGTTGTTAATTTTTCTCTGTTTTTAATTTTTATTCGCCACGTCCGACTGCGTTACACTGTACGTCCATTGCACGCTGGGATGTTATCCCAAGTCATACTGAGTTTATTCACATAGCTGATTGTTTCCAGATAGACTGTCAGTGCATAATGTTACTGAAGAAAGGTTTGTTGTGCTGTAAACTATGTTTCTATGAACAACTGAATGCTGTCTTCAGTATGAAAGCAGTATATATGTATCCTTTGTTTTCTCTTAGGTAAGTTCAACTGGCCTATATTTCGTGTTTTGGTTTTATCGGCCGAATCATGTCCATTTAACTACTTTGAGCAACATGTCTGTGCAAATGGAACAATAACTATGACACTTGCTTAGTTTAGTATTCTTGGTTGTCGCATAGTTCAGTTTAGTTGAAAGAATTATGATATACTTAAGTAAAGTGCTTGAAGCCTGTAACGAAACAGATCAGTTTAGTA